GAAGGAATAAAAAGGTCCTATGAGGCTGTTTCACTCAATTATATAAAAAAATTATATGACTCCTTACCTCAGCGGATGTACGAAGTCATATTTAACCGTGGAGGCTCAACACATTATTCATTTGTTTTCAAAAAAAGTTGAAAATATTTAAATTAATATTAAACAACAGTTTGAATGAAGTTTGAACCCATTTTCTTTTTGTTATTTTAAGTTTTCAAGTGACTGTGCTAATCGGCTGTCGCGCAGTGTACATTGTTACTTGCGGATCATCTAAAAAATAATTTTTCTTCGATTAGGGCGAAAAAGCAGCCAAAGCGGCTGAAAAATTGATTTAGTTTATGGGTCCGATACTGTAAATGAACGTGTAGCACAAAAGTGGTTTGCTACGTTCCGTTTCGGTAATTTCGATGTCAAAGATGCACCAGGTTTTGCAGTGTGTTTGGTGGGATTGACAAGGAATCATCTACTACGAGCTGCTCTCCTATGGCCAAACGCTCAATTCGGCAATCTACTGCCAACAACTGGACCGCTTGAAGGCAGCACTCATTCGGAAGAGGCCATCTTTGATCAACAGAGGCCGAATTATATTCCATCAGGACAACGCCAGGCCACACACGTCTTTGGTAACGCGCCAGAGCTCGGATAGGAAGTCCTCATGCACCCACCTTATAGTCCGGATGTGGCACCAAGTGATTACCATCTTTTCCTGCCCATGGCGAATACGCTTAATGGTGAGAAGTTGGCCTCAAGAAAGGCCTGTAAAAATTGGTTTTCGCAAGAAACATGGCACAATTGAACAAGTAAATCGTTAGCAAATTAAATAAGAAAAGCTCTCGAATAAATTCAGAGAGTAATGATCGGTCAGATTTCTTGACGTGACGCAAGCATTTGACAAAATGTGGAATGATGGTCTCATTCATAAAATTAAAAAATCATTACCTAACACTTTTCACAACATCCTTGAAGCCTATTTAACCAACAGGCGATTCACAGTAACAGTAAGTAGTTACATAACAGCAGAGTATCCAATCACGGCAGACATTCCGTCAGGATAGTGTTCTTCCAGACATTCCTACAAGTGACAAAATAATCCTATCAACTTTTGCTGCGACTGCTATACTTGGTCGACATAAATGACTCATTACAGCAACAAAAGTATTAGAGAAACACCTTAAACTAATTAAAGAATGGCTAGCCAAATGAAAGGCCAAAAATATCGCCTATCGCAAAGCTAACAAAATCACATACCTTGGCATTCACTTGAATAGGCGATTAACTAGGATTTAAATTTTTTTTTTTCCAATTTGAATTAGTTTTTAAGCAAGAAATCTGATCTTAGCATTGAAAACAAAGTCCTTCTCTATAATGCAACTATAAAACCGACATGGATGTATGGCATCCAGTTATGGGGTACAGCTTGCGCGTCAAATCTAAATGTAAAACAAAGGTTTCAGTCGAAAATATTGAAAATCATAGCAGGCGCGCCATGGTATATGCGTAATGAAAATATCCTTATACTTCTAAACATACAAAAATACATAGCTATTGTAAACTGCACAATCAGCCGAACCCTTTGGCTATCACCTTGGCCTCCGCAACAAGTCAAACACGTCTAAAGAGAAAGGACTTAGTAGTCTTGTAAAGTACGACACTGAGACAGCAGGTCATTCCTAGCCAATGGACTATTATATTTTAATTTAGTTTTAAAGATTTGATAACTTATTGTAAGGCTTCTTATTGTATATTGAAGCAAATTCAGTAATTAAATACAAATGTTTGAAAAAAATAAGTGACTCGGGGAAGAGTGGAAAAAACTCTCAAGTGTTGTGTATGGACGGGGATTTCTTAACTATATACATTTTTTTTTTAATTTATAATTAATAAATTATTTTTTATAACTAAATTTAACTTAAAATTTAATTTGAATAATAACAAAAATAATTATAACATTTCAATTTTGATATAAAAGTCAACTCACAACTTTCATTTTTGATTTTTAAAATAAGAATAAAAATTTGATTTGAGTTCAAATTTGTTCTGATCTTTCTTCCAAAAATAAAAAATAAAAATCATGATTTGAATGAAAAATATTTAAAAATCTTTGCAACGGTTTTTTGATTTTTAAATAGTTAAAGTAAAAACTAATGCATTATTTTTTTTCAATAAATACCTTTAGTGATCTTCATTTCGCATTCTATAAGTGCGATTGACTTACGCTAGATGACGTTAGAAATATAATATTTTGTACTAAAAATAACGGTAGAACTGTTGATCACTCAATTCAGCAGTGAGAAAATACGGTATACTCGTGTACAACAATTTTTCTTCGATAAAGGCGAAAACGTAAATCAGGCAGCTGAAAATGTGAGTAGTTTTCATGATTCTGATACTGGAATAGGCAATCATGCTCAATTTTGATTTCTTCGAATTCATAGACCGAATTTCCATCTCCGAATCGAAAAAATTCTACACATTTTCTGAAGTGAATAGTAATTGGTAATGAAAAGTGAATCACTTGAGCAACGTCAAAGGAAAGTCGTCGTGGTCGCAAGGCAGTGGAGCCGGCATATACGATCTCCAAGCCCGGATTGATGGCCAGGAAGGGTTTGTTGTGTGTTTGGTGGGATTTGTAAGGAATTATTCATTATGGGCTGTTGTCCTACGGCCAAACACTTAATGCGGACCTTGCTGTCAGCTATTAGTCCAACTGAAAGAAACAACTGGCCAACGGGGGAAGTACTGCTTTTTTATCAGGACGGTGCTAGACTATAAACATTGATAGTGATTCGCCAAAGGCTCCGAGGGCCTAATTGGTAGGTTCTTCTACATTCATCTTATAGTCTGAATCTCGCAACCTGCTGGCTGCCATCAGTTTCTCTGCGGTATTAACTAACTCCTGCGGGTAAGGTGTTCAAGAATTTACCTGCGGTAAGGCATGCCTGTCGTAAGAGGTGACTAAAATCTAATAGTTCTCGCGACAGTTGGGTCTTTATACCGGAACGACTTAGACTGTCGCTCCCGCAATACTCCCCAAGAAGTACTTTGGGGCATTTTTTTTTTTCAAAGTACAGCCTGGTCCTTCTCTACCTGGTCTTTCCAACGGTGTGGAGGTCTTCCTGTTTCTCTGCTTCCACCGGAGGGTACTGCATCAAAAATTTTGAAAGCTGAAGTATTTTTATCCATTCGGACTACAAAATCTAGCCAGAGCAACCGCTGTTTCTGGGTTCGCTGAACTATGTCAATATTGCATTATCCATCGTTTGTGGTGGCCTTTCGCAAAGGATCATAAATTTTACACAAAACCTTTCAATTGCCTACTCAGTCCCAAGTAGTACCTGTTGACAAGAGTGATTCCGGGCTGGATTAGTGAACATAATTATTGGTTTTGATTCTGATCACTACCAGACCCATACCCTTCGCTTCCTTATCCAGTCTGTAGAAAGCAGAACTGATGGCACGGCTTCTATATTCAGCACAGAAGCTCTTATTATTTTCTTCAGCAATAAATTAAAGAAGTCACATGATAAGAAATCACTGTGTCTGAAACCTCGTTTGATATCAAACAGCTCGAAGAGGTCCTCCGCGATCCTGATGGAGCTCTTAGTGTTACTTAACGGCAGATAACACAGCTGTATAAGTTTTGCGGAAATTCAGATAACTCCAACTATCGTAAATAAAGCCTTAAATGTAATGCAAAAGTAATGGATAATTTTTACTAGCATTACGTGCTGCCATTCTCAATGCCAGAGTTCGAGTACTGATGTTGGTCAAATCCAAAATTATAGAAAATAGATCTTTTCTATTGCGATCACTCCTCGGCAGGAAATGTCAAGTCCTTCGAGTATATTACTAACATAAGATAAAAGCTCTTCATAAATATCCACTGGCTGTTCGGAAGCTGCTCATTTAGGCTCTTAATTTATGACGTCATGTTATGACACTTAAGCTTTTTGTTTCGTTTCAAAATAAATCAATAGGCCAAATCGCTTAATAAAATATATCTTACTGGAAAATTGCGATCACTCCTCGGCAGGAAATGTCAAGTCCTTCGAGTATATTACTAACATAAGATAAAAGCTCTTCATAAATATCTACTGGCTGTTCGGAAGCTGCTCATTTAGGCTCTTAATAAATGACGTCATGTTATGACAATTTAGCTTTTTGTTTCGTTTCAAAATAAATCAATAGACCAAATCGCTTAATAAAATATATCTTACTTAAAAATTAGCCATATTTTGGACTCAAAAATAAGCTAGTAATATTTTAGTCCATTTTTAACTGGTATGTGACTGGTATGTTTCTGAAGGAAAAGTGAGATTTGTCGCTTTGAGGGCAACTCTATGTTAAAAATACAAGCAGCTCGTATGGAAAGAAGGCAGACTTATTGATATACCAGTTTCGAAGTATATATTATTTTCAACAGTTAATTTGCTTGCTGTGCACTTAATGCTCTACAGTGTCCGTATACGATTAAGTACGAGATTTCATTTAGACAGATCAATTTCAACATTACATAGTTGCATTTAGTGCAATAAACGGTTAAAAAAATTATTAGACAAAATTCAGTTAACCAGTATGCAAAGAAGATGATGTCATTGGCGATTCTAACATGTTTATTTAACAACTGACAACTACAAAAGATTGCCGTTGCAACTAACAACAAACTGGAAAAATTAATTGTCAGCCAAAGTATTCTGTATATATTTTTGAATTCAATTTCTTTTATACCAAAAGCGGTGCAGATGATATATTATATAATTAATTTAATGCGATAGATGACAGATGTCAAAATACTACTGCAATTGAAATAATAAATATTTAATTAAGAATTTAGAAAAAATTAAGATTTTTGTTCTTAAAACCGTAAATTTGTGTATTTATTAATTAATATTATTTTTGATGATTTTCCCAAAAAAAAATGTCCAGATTTTTCATCAAAAAAATTGTATCGCAAGTAAAATTTTGCATATTAAATTTTAACCTCTTTTTGGCACTTTCAGAAACGTCAAATTTATCGCGAACAAGTGTTGCCACATGCCGGTGGCAAAATTCCAGATACAGCCTTCGAAACTGATCGTCTTTTCCTGAATCGGTTGCAGACGAATGGTATCTCTGTACCAGACGGTGTTGTGACCGAACAACGAAATCCGCAGGTATGTTACGAAATAAAAATAAAATAGAAATATGAAAACTTTTTTATTTAATTTATAAATATAAAAAAAAATAAATATATACGAAAGACTAACTTCGGCTGGAATCCCACAATAGATACTCGGCTGATATTTATATTGAGTCTTTGGAGGGCCGCAGTGGCCGAGTGATTATCATTGCCTACTGCTATTCGGAATGCCCTGGTTCAAGTTCGGATGCGAACAACTTCCAAAATTTATAGAAATTTAATTTAAATTAAAAATTAAGTTAAATTTTCTGTTGTTGTAACCGAAAAAATATTCCCCAAAGTGCTTTTTCGGAATGTTGGGGAAGTCACAGTCCTTGGCCGGATAAAACTCCGGGTCGTTCCGGTATAAAGACCCAACTGTCGCGGGAGCTATTGGATTTTAGTCGCCTCTTACGACAGGCATGCGGGTAAATTCTTAAACCCCTAACCCCAAGGGGGAGAGTCACATTTTTTAACTGCAGTCGCCCCTCGGCAGGGAATGTCTTGTCATTCTGACATGAAATAAGGACTTCTTTCAAAAAACCATTAGCCATTCGGAGGCGACTTAGTATAAACTTTAAAACCCCTTCATTTGTTGGAAACACATTAAGGCGCAAAACCACAAATTGGAAGAGGAGCTCGGCTGCGAATTGCTCGAGCGGTTACAAAGTACTTGGAAGCTATTTTATATGGGAAGGTATGTTTTTATTTTTGGACAGACATATGTGAGACTTCAGTTCCCACTAAAAGTAGTCTAGCTCGTTCGGCTTTTATCTAAGAGATGGCGTTGTTGTCCATAGTACAAGTATTACGTGTCGCATCATGTCGTACTATACGGCACTGAAGACGTGTTTATTCGCGCTAAAAGTTTGTCTTTGACGGTTTTTCGATTAATTGAGTTAGTACGTTGTAAGCGCTCGTCAAAGATGGACACCACCAAAGAAAAAATTCGCTATATTTTACAATTTTTCTTCGATCAAAGCGAAAAATCAGCCAAAGCAGCTGAAAAAATAATTTAGTTCATGGCTCCGATACTGCAAACGAACGTGTAGCACAAAAGTGGTTTGTTAGGTTCCGTTCTGGTAATTTCGATGTCAAAGATGCACCACGCGTCTGGAGGCCTATCGTCGAAAGATAAAGATAAGTCAGAAAACCTTTTATAACGCAAACGGTAGTGGTCAAAGCTTGGGGAAGCGGCTCAGACGGTGGCCAAGACCGGATTGACGGCCAGGAAGGCTTTGCAATGTTTTTAATGGGAATTGCAGGCCAAATGCTCAATTCGGCCCTCTACAGCCAACAAATGGACCGCTCGAAGGCAGCACTCATCCAGAAGAGGCCATTTTTGATCAACAGAGGCTGAATTGTATTTTATCAGGAATACGCCAGGCCACACACGTCTTTGGTGACCGGCTACAAGCTCCAGGAGCTCGGATGCACCCACCTTATAGTCCGAACGTGGCACCAAGTGATTACCCTCTTTTCCTGGCACGCCGAGTTTTTTTGCCAATAGGGCAAATGTACACAAAGCTATCATAATTTGAAAAAGAATAAAAAAAAAACCCAGAACGAACTTTTTACTTGAACATTAGATTCGTCTCTTCACCATATGCGGTTAAGAAAATCTGTTTTAAATGTTGAACATGAAATCTTATATTACGTGGAATGTAAGCACTTTAAAGAGATGCGAGAGTGACCCACAGAAATTCATACCGACCAGATCGAACTTGATTGCCTGTCCTTCTATTTGACCGCAAACTAGCGCCTCAGTTTTTGAGATATTTGAGCCAAATTTGGTGACTATATGTACTTTTATACCATATACATCAGTTCTTGACGTTACCGAGATCGAACCACCATATCAAATAGTTCCCATGCAAATCATTTGCTCAAATATGAGGTTTTTGAGTTAAAACTTCGTACAAAAAGGATGAAATTTTATATTATATACACATAGAATCAATGGCTAATTGGCACTGAAAATCACAAAAATCGAATGTCTACAACATACGAGGTGTGTTCAAAAAGTATCGCGAATTTTGAATTTTCGCGGGTTACGTATAATCGAATTTCGATTTTTTTGTGGCGTTATGTTGGTACTCATGTCTGTCTGTTAGTATGCCGACAAGTTCGGCCATTTTGAATGTTCACTTAATTGTTGACAGTTGCTTTGCTTGCACGTATTTTGGATGGTCTTCGATTTTTACCTCTTCAAATAAAATGGATCAAAGAACCTGTATCAAATTTTGTGTGAAAAACGAAATAAAGTGTGCGGATGCATTCCGAAAGTTGACTGTGGCATACGGAGAAGCTACCTTGGACCGAAGCAAAGTTTATCGGTGGTACAAAACGTGCTCCGAAGGCCGAGAAGTTGTGAACGACGAAGAGCGTGCCGGACGCCCGAGTACTTCAACAACAGACGAAAAAATTAATGAAGTGGAGAAAATGGTATTGCCACAGGGTAGAACGGTCAATAAGGAATATTATATTACCTGCAAGTTATGCGCAATTTGCGCAATGCAATGCGCCAAAAACGCCAGAATTTGTGGAAGAACAAAAATTGGCTTTTGCAGCACGATAACGCCCCTGCTCCCATATCGTTCTTTGTGCGCGACACACTAATGATGCCGCAGCCACCGTATTCCCCAGATCTGACCCTATGTGACTTTTTCTTGTTCTCTAAACTGAAGAGGCCGATGAAAGGACGACGTTACGCTACGATTGACGAGATAAAGACGGCATCGAAGAGGGAGCTGAACAAGAAAAAAAAAATTATTTTTTGAAGTGCTTCGAAGATTGGAAAAACCGTTGGCATAAGTGTATAATATATCACGGGGATTACTTTGAAGGGGGCCAAATTGGATATTCATGAATAAATAAATAATTTTTGAAAAAACACAAAATTCGAGATATTTTTTTAACACTCGTCGTATAGCCCCCATACCACCAATTTGTTCAGATATGAGGTTTTTATATAAAAAAAAATCCTTCAAAAAAGTATCTAACATCATCAAATTTGGTACTATACAGACGTGTATGTACATAAATATTGACACTAAAAATCATCGAATTCGGGGCTCTATATCATAGTGCACCCATACAAGCCGTTTGTTCGGATGTGAGGTTTTAGTACAAAAATGCCTGAGAGATGCACATAAAAGCGAGAAATTCGGAATTCTATATAGGTACATACATACAAATAAATATTGGCTTCGAAAAGTATGCAGATCGGAGGACACCCTAAAAAAGATTTTTCAGATATTTGAATTATTTGAAGAGCACACTTTTCTCTTGTTTTTTATTATTATTTATTAATACTGTATCTCCCCTGCAGGTAACTCAGTACCATGACAAAAGCCCCAGAGTTGTATTCCAAATAGCACTCAGCTCGGACGGTCGTTACATACCCGCCGAAGGAAGATACCATCACAAGAGTACACCATCAATTGAGACCACATATCTCTATCCACAAATACATGGCGACTTAAATGATGCATCACTATCGAAAATCGCCTATCCCACATACAGACAATTGCAATTACATAACTCACAACTCAATCAAGTGAAACTGCAACCTAAAAAGAAAAGTATACTTTCTTCATATAACCTCACATTCCTTTTTATGTACAATACAATGAAAAATTTAATTCATCATAAAATCTCAAAATCTCTACTTCCTCAGCGCAATATCTCGATTTAACACCTAGTCTGCAAAAAAGCCACGTCAGTGCATTTAGGACACAAACATATCAGAATTTCAATATTATCAACTCGCCTGTGGTGCCAACAACAATTGGTCAACATACCATTCGGGTAGCAGGTAGCGGCGGTAAAGTTGGTTATTTGCTGCCCAACAGCGGCAACGCGGCACATGTGAGTTAACTCGTATTATATAGTCGGTTGTAGTTGTGTGTGTTAATTGTATGTTTTTAATTTATATTATTTTTCTTTCGTTTAAGCTATTCAACGAATTTGATGAGCTCTTTAACAGCTTCAATTTACATGAAAGTAAATAGTTTGGCCGTTTACAATGGTGGGGCAAACTTCGGCTTGAAGCGTAAAATTTGCGAGTTTTTTCACAGAATTCATTCATTAAATACATACATACATACATACTCGTATATACATATATGGCTAGATAAAATGTGTAAAAATGTATATATGTACGAGTATAAGTGTATGCCACAGCATATTTATGTGTACGTACTATTAATATAAGTGAAAACATTTATCATACTCTTTATACACTTTTATTGTAATTAAAATCTCATTTGCAGTTTTTTCTTTTGTTGTAAATTCAATAAATTAATTATTTTGTAAAATATGTGTTAACCTCTGCTATTATGAAATTTTATTTTGGTTTTAAGTGAGCACGTGAAGATGCTCAATTCTCTAATTGGAACAAATGGGTTGGCTATGTTAGAGAAAAATTAAAAAAAAACACCTTTTTTGATGTTCAATTGAAGAAGATTTCATTACCTCACTTTTTGTAGACGATATCGCGCTAGTGATGGCCTCGAGTTCTAATGACGGGATATGTCCTTTTTTTCGTTAATTTCCATTGTATTTGCGGACGGGTGTTGGCCTTAAGTTCGTGTAGTAACGGAGGACAGTCAAACTCACTGCTTTTCATATGAAGCATCCAAGGTACAATGACTTCAAAAAAAAAAAAAAAAATTATTTTAGCACGAGCAGTGGTGGTACGCTATCCTGCTAAAACCAAAAGTGTTCCAAATCGTTTTCAAAAATATTTTGCATCCAAAAATCGGTTATTAAAGCACGATAACGCTGCTGATTGACGATTGCTAGTATTTGTAGTTTTCATAAAGACTACGAGGGGATCAACAAAGGTCCGGTCAGTTTGTGACTTTCAATATGTTTTTGTTAAATCTAAAAACATGTAACCCTTTTAAGCTACTTAATCAGTCTATCTTTCAAATTTTAGAACTAAAACAGCTAAAACAGAGATGAGAAAACGGCAGATAGCTAAGGATAGGTCAGAAAAAATTTTACTACCAACGCAAACATAAATTCGCCATGTGATTCTCTTCGGATTTCGGCGTAATTTACAGTCAATAGAAATATTCAGTGAATCTCAAATTGCATATGGAACGATTACGCCAACTTTAAAAACCATAAAATTATTCCATAGAGGACGAGGACGACAAGAGGGTAGACCAAAATCTTCCACTGCTGACGTCACTGGAGGTCTGGTGAAGTCCAAAATTGGCAAAGATCCACAATTGATACAATAAATAACTTCTAATGACTTGGGCTTGAAAGCCATGGCTTCATCGGTTCGATGGGAACCACGAATTTTAAATGAGGCCCAAAAAAAAGCTCGAGTGCATTTTAATTAATTTTTTCTAAACAAATTCGAAAATGGTCAGTCCGGCGACTTTAATAAATTCGTTACTGGTAACGAATCTTGGTTCTTTAAGTACGCTCCAGAAATCAACCAGCAGTCCATGGTATCGAGCCCAACAGGAGCAAATCCACCCGTAAAATCTAAGCAACAAAATTCAGCAGCGAAAGTAATGATGTCAGTTTAGCTGCAATTCCACTGGAAAAGGTCAGACAGCAACTGAAAAATGGTACACCGAAGAGCGCTTGCCAAAATTTGTTTTGGAAAACAGGAAGAAAGAGGATGCGCCGCAAATCCTTAGTACATCATGCCAAAGCGCTCTCCCACACTGCTGAAATAACTAGTAATTTTATTGTGATCTCTGGGATCGAAGAAATACGTCCAGCACCATATACGCCGGATGCAGCACCGTTTAATTTCTGGTCATTTCCAAAAATCAAAAAAAAAAAAGTTGAAAGGAAAGGTCTTTAACGGCAATGAGGAGATGATTAGTACATCTAATGCTGAACTTGATGAGCTTAAAATGCAATATTTTGAAGACTGCTTTCAGAAGTGGATCTATGGGCTTAAGAAATGCCTTGGACTCAATGGCGATTATGTAGAGAAGATAAAAAAGAAAAAAAAAAACGCATAAATTCAAAAAAAGAATTTTGTTTTGCTTTGTTTTTCTGGTCAACTTACAGAATTTTTGTTAATGCCCTCGTATAAAGTAACTTCCTCTTTATTTTTGCTTGCTTTTTGACAAAATTCATCATGCAACTCTATGCTTGGAAGTGTAGTAAAGTCAGAAATGACAACTGAAATGAGAAAAAATTAGGAACGAAATCGATCAAACCGGAAAACGCTAAGTTTTCCTACTCTGAAGGCTTCGCAATAAGAAACTGTCACTTTCGGTTTGAGGGTTTACGGGTTTTTCCTCCACACATATTGGGTTTACGTGCTAAATAGGAATATACTGCTTCATAGCAAAAATCTCCTGAGAGTGGCGCTTCAATCTCTCGCTATCATTAGTCGATCTAACATTTCTTGTCAAAATTACAGAGCCAATGGGTCCCTCTGACATGGTCAACCTAGTACTGATTCGGTAAAGTTTGAGCTTTCTTCACCAATGTGTGGCATGACCCTTCATATAAGCCCAGCAAAGAAAATACCATCAGTTTAAGCAGTATCTTAATAATTGGTAAATATTTACCGAAATCTATTATTTTTTTATGACAGAAATGCTTTCAAAAGTTTTTAATTTCCCTGCCAAAAGGCGACTCAAACTTAGAGCTGTGCCAGAGCTGGAACCTATAAGCCTTCAACTCCTAGCGCGCATTTCTATTCGCTCGAAAAAGTCTTAATCACGGATGGAAACCAGACGACAGAAGTACGAGTATTAAGAACATCGACTTGAGACTCAGAATTGCACTTGCAATGTCCGGTCAATCGATTAAAAAGTTAGAAATTGATTATTATCCGAAAGAAAATAAACCTGATATCAAAAATATAAATTTGTTGTTGAATATAAAACTGGTGAAGCCGAATGTGCAGCCAGTATCCAGATAAACAGAAGGATTCTCAATATTCGAAAGCAAAGTTGGACGTGTGAAAATAGAAGGACTTGGCATTAATTTTCTACTATTATGGATGTTGGTCGGATCAGAACTAGCGTCCCAGTCAACCGAATGGTACACAATGCTATCACGGCGGCGAAAAAAAATTCTCGGGCAATAACTTGAGTCCGATCGGTTTTTCCAGAAACTGAAATATATGGCTGTTAGAGAATCGAAAGATGAAGCTCCTGTTATATGAACGATAGCTGCCAGCTAAGTTTTAGAGTATCTTTCGCTCGAACCTGTGATTGCTCACGTTCTACTATTCCATTTGGTTCATGGGCAACAAGCAATAGATGGCGATTTTTTGTACAGAATTGTCTTCACGGAGTGTATATAGATAAACAAAATTGTCGCATTTGGAGCTTCGACAGTCTTCATATAATTGAAGAGAGGCAACCAAAAAAGTTTACTCTCTGGTGCGACGACGGCGAGACTGTGTGACCTGCAATTGAAGAACACAACTTGGACAACATGTGGTTTCAATAAGATGATGTCACATGCCATACAATACGAGCGGATATGGCTTTAGTTCGTAAGAAATTTTTAGGCCGCCTAATCTCTTGTTTTTTCGATGTCAATTGCATAACGAAACACCCATATTTGACCCACAGGGTAGAGATACGTCAGAAGTTCTAGGTTGGTAAGTTTTTATGCATCCACCATCCTAGTCTAGACCTCGCATAAAGTAATTACAATCTGTTCCTGTCTGTTGCGAATGATTTGGCTGGTGAAGAATCGGCCTCAAGAGAAGTCTATGAAAACCGGTTGTCCTAAATTTTTACCAAAAGTGATAATGGTTTCGATGAGATAAGGCATTATCTGCAAAATGACGGGAAGGTATAGGTGCATAACGGTGCATATTTAGAATAAATCGGATATTTCAAATTATGGTAAATAAAGCCCTCAATTTAATGTCAAATTATCAAACGTAAATTTTCTAAAATTACTTAAAAAATTAAACTATAATTAAAAAAATTAAAATTAAAATGAAACACATAAACAAAATTTTATTTGAACATTAATTTAAAATTAAAATTAAATACAAATGAAAAAAATTAAAATTAAATAAAACTGAAAATGAATCTAAAAGAAAAAAGTTAAAATTCAAACTAAAATTAAATATTAAAAAAAAGAATTAAAATTCAAACTAAAATTAAATATAAAAGAAAAAAGTTAAACTCAAACATAAAATAAAGTCAAAATAAAACTGAAATTAAACATAAATGAAAAAAGTTAAAATTAAAACTAAAATATAAAACAAAAAGCTAAAATTAAAACAGAAATTAAATTTGAAAGGAAAAAGTTAAAAGTAGAACTAAAATTGTATTTAAAGGAAAAATTAAAACGAAAATTAAATATAAAAGTAAAAATTGAAATTAAAACTAAAATTAAATATTAAAGAAACAAGTTTTAATTGGAAAATGCATATAAAAGAAAAAAGTTGTAATTAAAACTAAAATCAACTATAAAGAAAAAAGATAAAAGTAAATATATAAGGGAAAAACTAAATTTAAAACTGATATTAAATTTGAAGGAAAAAAGATAAAATTGAAACTAAAATTAAATATAAAGTAAAAATTAAACTGAAATTAAACATAAAATATTAAAGTTAAAATTAAACACAAAACAGAAAAGCAAAAATTAAAACTGAAATTAAATTTGAAAGAAAAAAGTTTAAATTGAAACTAAAATTAAATATAAAAGAGAAAGGATAAAATTAAAACTAAAATTAGATATAAAAGAAAAATCTAAAATTACAACTGGAATTAAATATAAAGAAAAAAAATTAAAACAAAAATTGAATATTAAAGAAAAGAATTAGAATTAAAACTAAAATGAAATGTAAAAGAAAAACGTTAAAATTAAAAATAAAATTAAAATTAAATTAAACTGTTCAACGAATTTAGTAAGTGATTGAACTTCATAAGTAAATTTATCATACTCCTGGGATCTAATATATGGAAAACAACAACACTGAAAAACAATGCAAATGTTGCATACGTATAGGCGCTCAAGCAGGCAATCAAATAAATAAATGAATAAATCATAAAGCTAAGCATTTACTTAGAGTAACTAAACATATTAAACTTATAGCTTAACGAAGCTTTGCACTAATTTTACATATCTACAAACACGTGTACATACATATGCACATATATGTATATATATAACCACAAGCGAGTATTATGATTGAATATACGAGCAAATGAGTTTTAAATATTTGAAAACTTTAATATTGCTATACTTATTTAATGTTGTAAAGCTTTTACTAAGCACACATGTTATTGTATATCTAACGGTATTCTGCTGCACATATTTGAAAACTTTGAAAGTTCACCATATAAGTTTAACTTCAGTTTGGAGGCACAACTAAAGGAGTTCCTCCATACATTGTTGATCAGTACCAAATTCGAACTAAGCTGAGGCAGTTGGATTAAAAATAAAAACGCTTAATATAATATATAAATTTTGTATAAAAGGCGTTCGTACTTAACGTTTTGGGTTGTTGGTAAATTTCGTTGAAGATTTGTATTCGAGATGAATGCGCAACGTGTGACATTGTATTGCTGTTTACTACTTGCGCTCGCTTACATTGCGGTTGCAGTAAAGGTGGAAGTGCAGGTGAGTGGCATATATATACATATATACATGATTACAAATAGTGTTACAAATTAAATTTATTATTAAAAATAAATGCACATACTTACATATGTATTTACGAGTATATGCAAAATACATATTTTCGAGACATAATTTTTTAATAACTTCGTCTTTGCGGTTAAGCGATCAATCAATAACGCATATATGCATACATATACATATATATATACATAAATATGTAATATGTAATTGTACCAAACATTTGCACTTCAGTTAATTTTTACACATATATATATATCTTTAAGCGATCGTTAAATGGCCAGTAAAGGAGGCATTCACTTTTGACCCAAAAAAGTTTAAACCAATTTAAAGTGGAGCAATTCATATGAGTAAAGAAAAAATCCAAAAGGAAAATAAATAGTTATTTATTTTTTTTTTTTTGCTGATACATACACACATATGTGCATAATTGCAGAGCTTTGAAAAAAGAAAAAAAAAATATGGAAAAAAATATTAACATAATTTTTTGTGCACTGCAGCGGAACCGGTCTGCAATACTCAATCGCACCTATGCCTGTGGCCAAGTGACCACCAAATGGTGAATGGGCACCATGAATGGACTACATATCCACATTTACTAACACCACACGCGGGGCACACACGTTTGAGCACTCTTTCTTTTTTGCGAAACGCTTATGCAATGTTCAGTTCGAGAATATGGCATGCGAATTTCACTATTTCTCCATGCCAAGCGTTTGTCGAAAGCGAAAGTGTGCAATTGAATGATAATTGTAATAATCATAAGCAATTTGAAAGTGTAGCAAAAGAATTTTCGCACACAAAATTTTTGTTTTCTAATGCAATATTGCAAATATATATGTAACGGTAATTGTGCATAAATTTATGGAGGTGTATTTAAATGCTAATATATGTAGTTGTTTATGTATGAAGTAAAAAGGTATCTTTGTTTGAAATCTAGAAATGTGAAAGTCATTTCCAATCGTCCGCAGAGATCTAATTGCCTTTGATGAACGCTAAGGTAAAAACTTTTGTGTAGGGTTACCAGAATAATATAATTCTTAATTCTTGTTTTGTGAATCAATAAAAAATATAAAATAAAAAATATATTTTTTTTACGCTTTTCCTCGCTATTCGCGTCTAGTAAAAATAACTTAAAATGGAAAAAGCTGAATTCCGAGAAGTAATTTTTTTTTATTTTTTCGCAACTCTGGAAATGTGAATTTAGTGATTTGTGTGTTTATTATCTAAATTCTTTGTAATTTTTGCCCAGAAGCATTTTCTATCTATATATTGGTCTAATCGAAGGCTTTATTTGCCATAATTAGAATTATCGCATTTATGTCAAATATGCACCCTTTTGGTCGATAACTTTTTGCCAGAAAAAATTGAAAAACTCTCTTGATTACAATTTCTCATCAGCTAAATTATTCGCCATAATCAGGAACAGATGTTAATCACTTGGAGCGACGATTGGACTATAACATGGATGCGTAAGACCCCCCCAACCAAACATTCAAAGCTTCGGGCGAGTCCCTATCTTTGTTAGTGGTCTGGCGTTGTCCTGCTTACCAAAGCTTGCCACTTCCTGTGCGATTGCTTCCTACAAACAGTCCAATTGTTGAAAGTAAGGTTCCGAATTAAGAGATTTGTCAATCGTGCCTTGAAGACCGTTTGTGCCGGCTCACCGCATTTCAACTACTACCGTTTTCATTTAACATTGCTTTAAGTGATGCACTTTTCATCATCAGTCACCATCCGGTTTAGAAGAGGGTCGCTTTTGGTACTACTCAGTAGCGATTCTCACATGAAAAATCTGTCCATGGGGTTTTTTTGGTTCTGATGCTCAGGAGGCACCCATACATCTATCTTCTTTGTGTATCCCAACTTTTTCAATGAATGTTATTTACCAACAAGCACACCGTGGAGCATCTGCTCAATGAAAAATATTGGAACGAAAATATCTATAACTTCAAAGCTATGACTGCCTACGACATGGATAACAAAAATAAAGGAACAAAGTTAGCTCTACATTACGAATTTTGGTGACATCAGAAACTCAAGACAGAATCGTGCTCTTTAAATTGAGCCTAAGATCCATTTGCTTCGCTTCCTTGTCCAACCTTGAGAAATCAAACTGGAGGAATGGTGCTGACGGGCTGTGTTATTTTCTCCAGAACTTACCTGGTTTATTACTGAACGGCTCGGGAAGTTCTTTCTCAATTCTGCTAGAACTTCCGTTTAGGGTTATACAAGCAACGAGGAGGTGCCGTGGCCCATTTCCTCTATATAAGGTATTCCCCAGTATTTAGCACGTGGTGAATATCTAATCTATAGTGGATCTACCAGCTCTAAGTCTACATAAACAAAACCCAATCTGTTCGTTTAGAGAAGATAATATAACTTCAAACTCGAGCCACAAAAGATATGAAAAGTATAAATATACAAACTATTGCAAACAAGGCAGATTCCGATTATGAACACTAATACAACTAGGGATTAACTTAACTTTGTTGTTAAATGCGTTATCGGGATTTTCTTTAAAGTTTCAATATGCTTAAATACTCATTGTGTGTGCTATCGAATGCTCATATGTTCATGCTAAAATGGCATGGTTATTTATCCGCCTCTCATTACAAAAACTTTGTTTCGATATTTTCCAACATTTTCATAGACTTTCGGACATCTTTTCCATCCACCAACTGAGGAGCGTCACAGAGAGGAGAAACAGGATCTTTCCAAAATACCCGGTGTACCTGGTGTAGACTATCCGATTTATCATGAGGTACCCCACACGAACTTCCATTGTGCCAATGTGCCAGCTGTACCGGGAATGTATGCAAATATTGAGACCGGTTGTCAGGCATATCATGTCTGTCACGACGGTCGCGAAGGACATCAAGGCGCACAGTTTCTCTGCACGAATGGTACAATTTTCAATCAGAAGGAGTTTGCATGCGATTGGTGGTACAATGTTAAGTGCGAGGAATCTGTTAACTATTATCAGTAAGTAATAACCTATCACTTATGGAGAGTTAAGACTAGTATGTGTGTATGTATGTATGTTTTATTTTGTTGCAGCTTGAACTCGGATCCTGAACATAATCCCTACTTCCAAAAGAAAAAAGAACCGGAGGTGCAACACAATGAGCACGAGGGTTTCTATATTCATGCTTGATTACTTCAAATTCCTGTAATTTAAAATAAAACATCATTAAGTATTTTTGTTCTCATTATTTTCAAAAGATTTCATTAAAAAATTGGTATCTCTTAACGGCAAAGTTGTTTTGTTTATTATTGCAATATTTAAACTGGCATTAAATATTAAAATCGTTTGGAATACCAAACTCTACTTTATTTGATAGAAGCATCATTCAAATATATGTTTTTATTTTTAAAAGCCACGTTTCGAATATCTCAGTTTGTCTTACGCCATTGCACTGGCTCTACAATGGTCTCTAGTTAAACAGTTTCAGGTGCAGTGTTGTAAGTGGAAACACGAATGGAAGTATGGCAGCATTTTATTAAACAGCTGTTGACTAAAGTAAACAAAAATAAACAAGATACGATATTTTAGCAAAATTTATTTAATTTAAACAAATAGCCACGCACTAAGACATAGCTATGAAAGTATACGCATCCACTTATCTGGAAGAACTGAAACAAAAATGGTTGTTTCTGCAAAACGCTGGCAATGTATTTGAATACAATTTAAATGTTACGAAGTCCAAGTATTTGCCGGAAAATAAAATAATGTATATGGAGGTATGCAACTATTAAAGGCATTCGCTACACATTTGTGTCTGAATACTAATAATTAAAAATTTCAGTATAATCCGCAACGTACACGTCTCAGAAGATTTCCTCACACAATCGAAAGCTTGAAACCTGCATTTAATGAGAAACTCTTTAATTTCAAAAAGATTAAACCTACCGAGCTGCTTATGAGTATAAAATTTGAAGAAACCAATATTTCAATGATAATAAATAAAAGTCCATTAACGCTATATCATACATTAATATGCCCCGATGTGTCCGCTGGATTATCGCAGTGTTTGACTTTACCTGCTGTAAAGTTTTGCATATCATTTCTACTAAATATTGAGGATAAGGAGAAATCATTTCGTATTGGCTATAACAGTCCCGGCGCTTTGGCGTCTGTTAACCATTTACATTTACACCTCCTATATCTGACTACTGATCTTTATATTGATAAAGTGGTAATTTGTCTAATTAAAATAGGTTTAGAACATTTAAAATTAATTGAAATCAAATTTTCAGGATATGGTACTCTTAAAGGGTACAAATATTTATCGCTTAAGTGATAAAATGCCAACAGAGGCGATTTGCTTTACATTTAACAAATCTATGAACGAAGATGCTTTAAATTTACAATTGCAAGAACTGTTTGATTTCATTGTATGGTTATGTGATCATGACATTCCCCACAACTTATTCTTAACTCCTTATCGAAGTGGTGAGTCAGTAAAAGCTTTGAAAGCATTTGTGTTTTGCCGCCGAAATTTTTGCTACGTCAAAACTTTAAATACATACAATATTGGGTTTTGTGAGTTGGCCGGTTACGTGACTATCGGAGGTAAGTTTTAGAAAAATAATTTAATAGCACTAAAACGGAATACTTCTTTTTTTTTGCATTTCACAGAAGAAGAATTATATGAAAATGTCACAGAACAAGATGTAATAGCGAAAATTCGAAAAGAAACTGGAGATGTGTATAATGAAGTTTATGAGTATTTCACGAAATCAAATGATATTGTGTAAGTATTTGTATAATTAAATCTACAATTATTTACATACATACGAGTATATGCACGCCAAATAATAGATAAAATACAACTACAAAATTTTGTCAATATTAATAACCACCTTTGATCTGCTAGAAAATACCAAAAACTTTAGTTTACGATTAGAAAATAAAGTGCATGTATTATTAAAAAAAAAAAAAAGAAGTTTGTATATATTTTTTTCTATTTATCATTTTTGGTCATCATTTAAAATTGTATAATTTTTGTCTTGATCATTTTTACTAATTATTTTAGTATTTGGTTTTATGCTGTAATCAACAGCGAGGGAGCCTCTTTGAAATTTAATTAACTTAATTAAATCAGGTAAATTGTCATCTGCAATACACTTGCAAATAGTGCTGAAAAAATGCATCATATGATGCAAATTATGGCTGTAAAAAATAAATAAATGTCAACTCCGTTGCACAAATGTTAGATTTCACAACTTACATCATAAGTAAAATAGGTCCGAGCAACTCTTTTGTCTTATATAGGTGATTTAAGTACGCGCGAGTATGTTTTCTGCAGGTTAAACAGCTACAATCACGTATCAGAGGTGTAAAATCCTCTTTCAAACTATTTATTTGAAATAAATATTTATTACTTAAGTTTAACATGTTCACATAAATATTTAAGTACCTTTCATTAGATATTTCCAAAAATGGTTGGGAGGTCGCATTTTCGACTGTTTTTAAATTAAAATTGAACGTTAAAGCTTTAAAATTAGATGCAGCACAATATGCATAAGATGTGTCAAAGATATCTACACCCAATGATATTAATTCTAACATTACAGGTGGTGTATAAGCACCGGGCATCATTTTTGGCTTGTCATCACTTAGCTCATTCAAACAATGTGTCATCACTTTTATAAGTTGCTCAGAATCCACTTGGCAAGCACTTAGACCATAATTGTGAAATCCTTCAAAAATGTAGCCATTGGCAAGTTTTTCACCTTTCGCCTTCGCATGCTTAATGGATTCACAGCGTGCATGTGTACTGTAGCCACCAACGATTGGCGCTGAGGGAGAATATTAAAAATTTTCAATTTACCATCTTGTCTTTAATAGATAAAACAAAATTCTTACCAAATAATGCACATTTTTTTAATACTTTTGAATTTTGATGTCGTTCGTAACAAGCATCCATAAACTGTGCTGTTCGATCAACACATTTTATTATACGTTTTTTCGAGCTTTCCAAATTTGTATCAGCATCACATAGGCCTTGGTATATATCAGGTTTCAAAGTTTCAACTGTGTCCATATATCTACACGTGTAAAAAAATTAGTTGGAAATCAAATGACGTCATTTATGTAAAGTTACCGCTTCACAGTTATATGCTCTTTTCCGCGTCTTGTAAAGAGTGGTATTATATCTTTATCATTATGACCACTTGGAATTAGCTCACAACTGTCTCTTATTATTAAAAACGATAAACATTCCGGATAGCCTACGTAGGCGCCAAATGTGCCATTGAACAGTTTAAGCGATTCCACCATATGATCAATGGTTGAAAGCGTAAATTGCAACGCTGGAACCTCTTCGGTAACATAGTCAAATACCTCACGGGAAAGATATGGGATGCTGCCGCCCTACGTTTTCAATAAAAAAAAAATAAAATAAAGTTATTTATTATCTGCAATTACATAGGGATTACTGCTTCGGCATTATTTGCTTACTTTGGTGGTTTGTACTAGCAACGGTGTACGAAATCGTTTTTCAGTTTCTGTTTGTACTAAATAACCCAGGCGTCCAGATGATTTACTTATTTTTTCAATAACGAATTTCATATTGAAAATTAAAATATTTACTACGTTAATACTAAGAAAGAGAAGAATTTAAAAGAATTTTTTTAAGCTTAGCGCACACGCTTTTTTGACATTTCTTTTTTCACCATTTTTTTTTTGACCGTTTTTTGTATTATTTTTAAACAGCTGTTCATGGTAATGCCAGACTTTCAATTTCTATTTCTGATAGATCATCTTCATGTGCGTGAAATCTTTTTGCGTTCTGTGTTTTTTACTTCAGCATCGGCGACTGTTTACTTGACAGCTTACTTTCCCATTTTTAAATTCTTTGAGCCTGGCGGGCCCTCGATAATGTGTTGTTGTTAAATGCATCTGTAATTGCCACCAATAAGACCTTTTAGGAATACTACTAAGCAACAAAAATGACAATCCAAACAATAGTTAACACATTCATCCTCCGATTAATACTGACAGAACAAAGGTCTTTGTATAAAAATAGACTCAGGTTAGGGTAGGATGAACTGGTTGACTTCTTCAGGGTTACATCCTGTTCTGAAAGTACTCCATCTTTAGCCAATTCATCGGCTGTCCCATTGTCTTCGATTTCCTTATGTACTCATACCCAATAATGGCAGACTTTTATCTAACTCACTTACCGACATCGTGCTATATAAAATTAAAACCCGAACAGTTATGCAGTTAAATATGAGGTCTTCTCTTATTTAAAACAGCAGCAGTACTGCGGAAAATTTGTAGTGCAGTGGCTTGGCAGGCCGAATGACTTTCTTGGCTACTCCAACATTCATTTTAGAACCATTGGTAAAGATGTTCAAAGTTCCGTCTGCAAACATGAGTCATTTGCCACATCATAGTAGATTCCGACTACGACATAGGTAATGTATACTTTGCTTACAATATATCCCAGAAAACCTACTTATCTAACACCCTTTTCTCTCTAGTGTGAACCCCTGGCTACAGCGTGTTTCTTGACCCGCCATGACTTCGACTAGCTTACCTGCTTCCAAGTGGGTTTATCTATGCCTTATAGGAACAGCAATAGTTTAAACAAGCTAGAGTTGCTGGATTCGGAATTTTATATGAAGTATTCTTGTCACAAAAGGAATAGAGGGAGAGTCTTTGATAGGTTTTAAAAAGAACTGCACTTTAGACGAGCCGGACCGTAGCAAAGTGCAGTAACTTGTCTAACAATTCAGCGACCTAGCCAAGCAGACCTAGGAAACCTACTTTTTGAGCTGAAGCGAAATTCCCAATACAAACAAATGTAAGTCAATAATAAATTTGCTTTAAATATTTCCAAAATTAGTATAGATGATTAGCTCTTAGGTGACTTAAAAATTTAAATTGAACCTCTTCTCTTTATATTTCTCTTCAAACGAACCACTAGTTTTGCAACATATTATATTTTGATTTTTGCACAAAGTTCATGTGTTTGTTTCTATGCGAATACATGGTTCGACTCGCCAAACCAGCGCCTCACAAACATCTGCCGCGCAAAGTATCTAAGAGATTCGCAAACTACGTAAACAAAGTATCTCCGAAGAGTAAAAAACATGCCATAGTTTCCACCACCAAACGCTGCTGCCACCGGTCAACCAACGAACCGGCTTGCTTCTCTGCCCAGCTAAGCAACTACTCGTATGAAACTCATTTTACTCATCATCATTGCTTTGACTTTTGGATGAATTCTCGTTTCAGTTGCGGTAGGAGCTCTGCGCTAACGATTTGTCGGATGTCGGTGTGGACGACAACAGCGACGGCAACAGCGTGTGTGAATTAATTTTGATTTTAAACAAAGTGTATTTATTTTTATTCGCTATTATCTGCCATCACTTTCGCTCATGTGTTGGACATTATTCGAAATTACAAGTGTGTGAAATAGTAAGAGCTTTTACCCACAATTGCTCCATGGGCAGCAGCTAAATACTTGTAAATGTATTTTCAAATATTTCCTAATTAAGTTTATAATTAAAATTAATTGAAAAATTACATATGCTTAATAAATGCTTGCCGAAAGTGTGGAATAAATAAGAATGAATGAGAATAAGATTTTGAGGAGTAAATAAATTTGTGTGCATAAATGTACATACATACATACATAAATATGTATTTACATACTACAATTTGTTTGAATAACGAATAAACTCTATCGAGAAGCTGAAGAAAACAAAAAAAAAAAAAAATACAAATTCTAAGCAAGACGGAAAGGTAACTTTTGAATGTGTGAAAACCGCAATTTGCAGCTCAATATGGCAAGGGTTGACGGTAAATATTTGATTGGGCGTTGTATGGAAAGTGCGATAGAATTATTTACTTTCTTTCATTTGCATACGCGCAAATAAGTACCCACATTTGAAATGTGTATATACATATGCATGTATATTCATATGTATTCAGGTGCTTTAAAAGAAGCTAGTTTTTGCCCGCGACTTCACCCGCACGGAGTTTGAGAATGGTTCTACTGAGATTTCAATTCGGTATAGAAAAGAAATAAAAGTCTTACACAGATTAGCCCAGGCGAAGAGCTTTCTATGTTTGCAATTTCAAGTAAAATGAACTGTAAATATAATTCTTTCGGATAGATCGGTACCGCAAAAAAAATTCTCCGATCTAAAGAGCTATCTATGTCCCATATATTAAGTAAAATTAGGCCATCTAATGGGTTCCCGACCTCTGTGCCATGTGAAGCGAACTGTTGTCAAGACTTTTCGAAGAGATCGGTCCCTGGTCCGTTTCCCGGAAGGAAATGTGCTTTTAATGTCACTATGTCTATGCTCCAAATTTCTCGAAACTCGAACGATTTAAAAATATTTTTCTAATTATATCGACCCCACCTCCCGGTGGATGCCTCTGAACACAATTTTTTATAAATCAAACCCAAGGATATCTGTGAATTAAATTTCCCGAAAATCGAGGGAATTAAAAATAATTTCGATTTACTCGAATGGATCGGCAGGTCCACCTTTAAAAAAATTCTTTCTTTTCAATCGCATATGCCATACGCAGATTACACCCTCCAAGTTCCAGGTTTCTACGATCAGTGGTTTAGATTGTGTGAAAAGAGAATCGACACTCACCACCTCTTCGTCGATTTTAAATTAGCCTTCGACAGCACGAAAAAGTGCTGCATCTAACCGACATTAAGCCACACTAAAAGCTCCCTCAGGATCTGGAATAAGCTCTCCGAACCGTTTTTTTAATAAATGAAGTTTCAGGCAAGATGACTTCTTGTCGTGTGACTTATTTAATCTATCAACTGAGAAATATGATAGTATGAGCTGCAGAGCCCAATAGTGAAGGTACGATCTCCGGCTTTGAAAGTTTTCGATGGAGTACCCGCCGATAAAAGCAGAGGAAGAAGAAGACCTCCATTGCGATGAAAAGATCAGGTGGAAAAAGAATCTTACTTACTTACCTTACTTAGTATTTCTAATTGGTGCCAAAACGATAAAAGAAGAAAGGAATGACGCACTGTTGCCAACTCGGCTGTAACCGCAAGCGGTGTCTAGGCTAATAAAGAATATGAAGTTTTGGGGTCTAACGCGCTGTCCCAAGCAACCTTTGCCCTTCTTTTTCATGGCCTGAGAGATATAATTTCAGAAAACCCTTCGTCATATACAGAACACACCCTAAAAGTTTCTTAGTCTCGACGATTAGTGCTTCAGGCTGTGAATTGATCCGTCAATCAGTAATTCAGAATCAGGACTCGTCAGACACGAAGAAATTAATACGGTGGCAAAATGCCAACATAGGCATTCTTATACAAAGCTATCTTCGATTATCACCTCAACCAAAAATATGGAAGTAGAGTAAAGTAAACGTCGGACTACTGAAATCGGGGAAGCCCAAAACCCAGACCCGAACACAAGAGAGTGATATGGTCTGACATGTACATATCTCCAGATTCCATTGGAGTGAAAATACTTGCCGTCTTTGATCCACTATTAGCATGATTTCCGCAAAAAACAGGGAACTATATTGTGTTAAAGTCTACTGGACCTGTAGAAGATCTTCCATATTGTTTAATTTCCACGTCCCGAAATTTGCTTCAAGACATCCATCAAGGCTCCTGAATCTCCCATGAGGATGACTACTTTCATAGCTGCTGGAAATAACATTCGATAGTCTGAACTTGTTTACTCCCCGAACGACTGCGATAGTCTTTAAGATACAGATCTCCAACAAGATCTTGCCACAGCGCATGAGTCAAAGATAAAAGAACGTTGCTAGCAATCCTCTGGTGACTCGAAAATTACGCTACACCAATTTACACGTCAGGTCCCAGCCAGCACAAATTGCAGACAAGAAGCTTGAGCCGCTCCTTAAGGACCGAGTAATGCCGCGAGACCAGCCTTGTATATCCCCTTAAAATGTAAACTCATCTAATATCGTTTTTTCTTTCAGTAAACCCAGTTCTTTGATAAAATATACATTCCATTAGCCGACTCTGTTAAGATTCGGGTTGAGTTTTCGGGAATGAAAGAATAGATAGATAAGAGGAAGAGCAGTGGGGCTGATAATTTATTGGACGAATAAGTCGAGATTATCAGAGGTTGTTGTTGTAACTGCAAAAATATTTCCCGACTCGGTTTTCGGGGAATTTTACGGGAGTAACAGTCCTTGGCCGAATAAAAAAGCGTGCCGTTCCGGTACAAAGACCCGACCGTCGTGGGAACTATTGGATTTTAGTCTCCTCTTACGACAGTTGATTATCAGAGGTAAATATGGATTGTATTTACTATTTTAGGCTCTAGAAGCACAGCGTTGTAGTATTTTTAGAAATTTAAATTTTGGTCTGAAGGATCCCGTTACTTTACATACTTATCTCAAAGGTTATTTGCATAACAATGAATGAAAGTATATTTATTTTTCTATCGCCCGAAGAAAGTCATTTTAACACCTACATATTTATTACCTAAAATGTCCATATGTACATACATACATACATACATACATGCTCGTACATATGTACGAGTACAATACAAAAATCGAGTATATACATAAAATCGCAATTAAGCTTCGTTTCATTTTAATAAAAATAAATTAGTACTTATTGCACACAACCCTATATACATACATTGCTCTGTACATATGTACATATATATATGTTTGTACATATATCTGGACAAAGTTGATAAGATCTAAAGCATTTAAAAACCGTTGATAACATATTTTATATTTCAAACCTTAGAATTCGGCGATAAATTTGTTTTTACATGCAAATGCTGTTAATCCATGTACCGTTAGAACATATAGATTTAACATGAAAGCAGAGCCCAGCTATGGCCATGCCGAAGTCTTTATACCTTCCATGAACATATCGAATTTATTTTATTGCATTTTAGGATTAAATATATTAGTAATTCTCATATTTGAAAAATTGATGATTTTTTGACGGATTTTTGACCCAAAACTTTATATCTGAACAAATCTGTTGCAAGAGAGCTATATGATAAAGTGTTCAGATTTCGATAATTTTTGATGAAAATTTTTATTTGTAGGTATAAACGTATATGAGGGGGATTAACAAAAGTTCAGTTGACCAGAAAAGAAAAATATTTTTGTATTTATTCTTATTTTTTGTTCTTTTTTAACTTCTCGATATAATCGCCATTGATTTCAATGAATTTCTTAAGTCTATAGATCTAATTCTGAAAACAGTCTTCAAAATCTGCAGCATTAACCGCATTAATTATCTTCTCGTTGCTATTAAAAACATTTCCTATTAATTTTTTTTTTTGGGAAATATGGTGCTGAACTTATTTCTTCGATCACGGAGATCGCAGTAAAATTACTCGTTATTTCAGCAGTGTGGAACGGTCCGTTGTCATTCATTTTGCTGCTGATTTTTGTCGCCTAGATTTTACGGATGGGCTTGCTCCTATTGACTCCATACCATGGACTGCTATTTGGTTTCTGGATCGTACTTATAAGACCAAGATTCGTCACCAGTAACGACTTTACTAGAGTTGCTGAGATGACCTTTTTCGAATTTGTTTAGAAAAAATTGAGCAAAATTCACTCGGGTCTCTTTTTGGACCTCGTTTAAACTTCATGGTTCCCATCGACAGATTTCTTAATATTCACTAACCGCGGTAGAGCCATGGCATTCAAGCCAATTCTTGTCAATTTTGGGCTTCACCAGAGTTACAGTGACGTAATCAGTGGAAGATGTTGCTCGTTTTACTAGGGGCTCGCACTCTACGGAATAATGTTTGGTTTGGAATCTTCGGAACCACTTAGAAAAAGTATTTAAAGACGCTGCAATCGCTAGATATACAATTTGCCATTTATTAATTACGCCGAAACCCGAAGAGAAGAGCGTTGGTGATGGAATTTCTTCGTCTGACTTAACCTCAGCAATGTTGTGTTTTCTCGTCTCCATTTTAGCTGATCGTTCTAAAATTTGAAAGGACGACTATTTAAGTAATTGCAAAGGTTTTGGTATTTTAAGATTTAACAAAAACAAATTCAAAGTCACCAACTGACCGAATTGTTTGTTTGTTAATCCCTTCGTATGTGTGTAGAGAAGCCAGCGCCAGTAGGTTATAATTTTTTACACATTTCTGTTGTTGTTGTTGTAGCGGTTCGCTAACCCCGCTTAAGCACAGGTTTGATCAGTCTAAGTCTACGAGGTCATATAATGGTAGGTCCAGGAAACGAGCTGTTTCGACGGGGTTGAACACCAGGGAGAGGGGGGTTAGATGAGTTGGTTTGAGAGGGCATGTGAAGAGGTGGTTAGTGCAGGGCATATGTTGGGTATGCTGGTTTCTAGTCTGGATAGGTAGGAGTTTAACCTGCTACAATATCCAGACCTAAGTTGTGTCATGGTCACGCGGGTCTCTCGCGCTCGTTGTCTGCTATAGGTGGTGGTTTTTCTCCGAGTACGCCATTGTTGACTGACTCCTGGTGAATGGCGTTCAGTGCGGTAGTCGGTACGCCGTCCTGTCCAGCGGTTGTTGTACATGTTGCTGGATTATGTTCTTTAAGTCTAGTACTTTCTGATGTGCCTAGGTGGAGGTTCGGCTTCTATTAGGTGCCTACTCGTAGCATATATGCTTCCATGTGCAAGTGATACTCCGGCGACATCAGGAGGTTTCCTGTCGCGATTCTGAGGCGTTGTTCTGACAAACCTGTAGCTTCTTCATCTGCGTCTCGTTCGTCCCCGGCGCCCAGACCGGTGCAGCCGACTAGCACTTTGAGTATTTTGTTGCGGCTCTGAAGTTTCGCGGCAATTGCGGTATTATGCGGAGTGCAGGCTGTCTAGAGTTACTGCCAAATTTTTTTGTTATTTACCGTCGGAATTTTTGTGTCATCGACCTTCACATCTAGTTCTAGCCTGTACTCCTTCGTCCAGCTGGAGAAGAGGGTAGCCGAGGATTTCGTCGGTTGAATTCTTAGCTGTCTTGCAGTGAAGAAGTGGGAGAGTTTAGCGAGGTAGCCGTTCACTTTCAAGCAGAGGTCATCAATATCCTGGCCAGACGCCATTACCGTACAATCATCGGCATAAGAGGTTAGGGACACATTTCTACAGCGCAGCGCTTGCTTAAAGACCTCTAGTGAGCAGACGCTGCAATTAAACATCCGTGACCGAGCCAAATATGCCGGAGTGGCCTTACGGAAGTTCCCTCTCTTTTAGCCATAACCGAAGACTCCAAATGGGTTGAATACCGCATTTTGCTGTTTCCAGGGAGCGATATACGGACGCAAGATTAGAATTTAGTAGTCCTACTATTGTCCAAGACAACGTCCTTTTAAATCCCAAATAGCGTCTTTCATTAGTGTATAGTCTTCTAGCTCTGTTAGCCCCAAAAATTTTGATAAACACTATTTTATACCCGCCATTGCAACAAATACTAAAATAAAAAATACTCCTTATCTCTCATTTCAGTGTTTGGAGCTCTCACGGTGCATATGGCAACTCTATTTCTGTTATCGGTTTAGAACAGACAATTTATATACCACGTTACCCCCATGGATTTCTATATTTCAAATATTCAAACAATACAACCATCATAGCGATGGCAAAATATACCTTACGAAAGACATAGCAAAACAGCGAATGAGTTAGAGCGCCAGAGGAGAAAAGGGGATGCTCACTTTTTTATAATTTTTTAATAATATTGACAGAGAGCAGGCTGAAAAAGGAGAGGATGTTTTACAGAGAACCCACAGCCAAGCAGCGAGTCAAAACAAAGTGACGACAAAGGCGAAGAGCCAACAAAGGCAGAGTGCCGAATAGCCCGGTATGGCAATAGACACCAAAAACATTGAGTTTTCCCCCCCTGCCCTCCTTGCCGACAACGCACTTATACACACACTAAACATGTGTTCCATGTGATGGTAACAATTCGAAAAAGCAATAAAAGCACACAAAATACTCCCAACTGAGCTGAGCGTTTCTATTCTATGTGAGCAAGATGAGTACCAACCGAACACATTGCGCTGGAGCGACACATTACAGAGTTGACTGAGGTACACTCGTTGGGCTTGCAATTGGCGCTACGACTGAGCACTGTTAGTATTTGCTCCTCAGTTGAGTAACGGAAGGCCGTTGTGACGTTTGTGCGCGGTATTTAAGGGTTAAAAGAAAAATTTAAATAAATTTCTATTTGAGCAACACCCCTTTGCGGCCGGCGAGTTCGATGAGCGTGTGTGTGTGGTGGTGGTGGTGGTCTGGCACAAAGTCGAAGTCGAAATTATTGCCGTCGCCGTCATAATCATAGCACGTTTTTCCTTTACTGGCTGTGTTGCATACATATTCATGTCTCTTTGTACATACATATAAGCACATGCTACGGATTAATGTAGAAATCGTCAAATGTGAATCATAGATATTTATGTACTTCGTTTGTATGTATTTAAAAACCTAGCTATGTTTGGTCTATAAAATGGACAGACAAAATACCGCACATACAGTACTGTAAAACGACAACAAAACAACGTGTAAAATCAACGAATTTCGCTTTGCTGTCTCCATTTATTTTTTTTTTAGGAGAGTGTGTAGACTTACCTACCCAAATATCAAATTATTGTAAGCGGCGATAGACGACGCACACGGACAGCGACCAAACTGGCATATGGGTAGATGGGTAGACGGACGGACGAACGAACGTGCTTCGCTTCGTAAGCTGGTGCTAACGTTTAACGTAGCTTGGTTCCTTGACTGCTTGCTCGCCTGACTGCCTGACTGCCTGCCTGTTACGCGTAATCACCATACGAAGGAAGTGGAAACCGATTGTGAAAAAAGAGACGTAGAGCCGGAGGCAGAAGAAAACTCGTCGTAGCCATCGCCGTCGCCTTCGACGCTTTATTCGTCTGTGTGTGTAAATGAATGAATGAGTCTGAGTATATGTGCGTAAAATCAAAATCCTCAAAAACTGTCGCTGGCTGCCTACTGCTTACTACTTGCTACATACGAGTATGTACATACATACATATTTCCTTCAGCATATCCAGACAAATTCACATTCAGTTTGAGATCTCTGCGGTGCGTTGCGTGACGGCAGCGATAGTTTAACGTTGTTGCAATACGGTTTTGATTGTGTTTTACGAACTCGATGGAGGTCGATTGAAATCGTTATTCGCCATTCGATATAGGCCGATTCAATGTGCCGTACGATTAACAAGAACAAAAAAATAATAAATACAAACTACAAAATTATTGGTGAAAACTTGTGGTGGCTTTCTGGCTGGCTGGCTTTACTAGTTGTGTCGTGGTGCGGTATTGCAGGTCGGCCGTAATACGCAGGTAAAACGGATACGGGAATTAAGAAAGACAACAATAACAACAGCGTGCAACTAAAGAGCATAGATAATTATTTAGGTACATATGTGTGTATATACATATACATACATATATGTATGTGCATATATGTAAAGTGTATAAAGTATGCAAGGCACTACCTAAGCAAACCGAAGAAAGTTGCAACATTGAGTTGAATATGAGATAAGCATCTACTTAGCAACACACACTAGAATAGATACTAATGCCTTCAGCTACAGTTGAAGGCCTTATTGAACCTCGACCAGAAAGCCGTTATGCCAAAATAAGTGGCAGCTGAAATTTTTTTGGCGTAAATATTTTAAGAAACAAAGAAAAATACGGATGTGTAAAAAATTTTGGTTAACTCGCAGACTAAAGCAAAACCAAATGGAAAACTAGAAAAATTAAAAAAAAAATATAATAAATGAGATATAAAATTTTACTGCTTATTGGGAGTGAAATAAAATACGAACAGTGCCGAAATAAAATTAAAAATAAGTAAAGAAAACATAAACGTGAACGCAACCTAGAGCAAGAAACAAGTAAATTGCTAAGAAAACGGAAAGAAAACTAAAGAAAATTAAAGTGAAAATCCACCTAAACACGCTGCTCTCGCTGTCTGCCTGCTGCTCGTCGGCTGTTGCCTATTTGACGCTTATGCTGCCTGCGCTTATTGTACACGCCTGGCCGGCCGGACTACCAAGTAGACGCATCAGTCTATTGGAAATAGCGTTAGTAAACAGGCAAAACGACGCGTCGGAATGCCGAAACGAAGCAAACGGTTTTACTAAAGAGAAGAGTGTTGAAAGAAAATTCATAAATTTTAATATTTAAAATTACAAAAGAAGATATATATATATAGACATACATATACATATGTATATATGTATGTGTGTATGTTTGTGTATACATAAAATACGCTACGCTCAGTCACCATAGTGGAAAGCGAAGAAAATTGAGCGAAAATAGACAGAGCAGGCATAATAGGTCCTACTAGTTGTTAGTAGCTAGAAAAATATCTGCACAAGAAAGTGCAATTGAATATTGAATAAATAGGCAGCTGAAGCGTGTGCTCAAACCAATTATAACGCCAAGGCGGGGCAAAAAGGAAAAAGCAACTAAAAAACGGGAAAAAGAAAGAAATAAAAAAAAACTTAATAAACTATTCAAAATATGTACATGCATATACATATATGTACATATGTATAAGTTTATTCAAAAGTAAAATCGAATTAATACAATGTATGGGGTATTTATTCATAAATACTTTTATTAGTGTATGTATGCATGTACGTATGTATATACGTGAATGTGCGGTGTCTACCAAATTAGGAAGACATAAATTACATACGCACTGGTATTTAAGCACTTGTTTTTCGTTAAAATAAATATATGTATGTGTTTGTGAAGTACAGTTGTAATATTTAATATTTTTTTTTAACAGCAAGACAAGATATTTAACAAAAATTAGAAGAAAGCCATTCAATATTAAAATCAAAATTCTAAAAATAAAGCAGAATCAAAAAGTCGGCTTTCTTCCAACAACAGAAGAAGACCAACAATTTATGTGCCATTTAAAAGAAAAAAAAGTAAAAATAAACGGAAAAAAATCATAAGAATTATTTCATAAGTAAAGTTCACATATAAAATCAAAATCCTGATGAAATTTAAGTAAAGCAAAATATAGAGAAAATAATTTAACAAATAATATAATATAATATAATATGATATAATATGATATAATATATAATATAAAATATAAAATATAAAATACAATAAAATATATAAATAATAATATAAAAAGTGAAACACCGACGAGATTTCCTATAGAACGCAAAGAAGCTTTAAAAACTCAATAATTTAAATAAAAATCAAACCGAAGCAACTACCACTCATAACAAATTGAAATTAACAAGGTCATAGGTATTCTTAACAGTATTATTAACACGTTAACACATACTCACTCAACAATCTTCCACCTACCGCGCTACGAAAGTGTAAACGCCGCAAATCTACCCAAATACACGTGACCCCCACAACGTCAAGAAACAAGTGGAAAAAAATAATAATAATAAAAAAAAAGAAAAATACCAACAAACAACAACAAAAATCATAATAAAGCAACAGTAAAACAACTAAACAACACAGTGCCACACAGCGAGCGCGGAAACACGTCGCAACAAAACGAAAAGACCAACAGCTTGTCGGGAAAGTGACATACATACATACATACATAGTACAACGTAGTGAGAGGAAAGTAGTAAAGAAAATAAAAAAAAACAGAAACAACTGTGCATTCGAGGATATTAAACGATATAAAAGAGAAAACAAGAGAACACCAGGAAAATGTCCTGCATATCTAGTAATTTCAGCTCATTCTTCCTTAATTCCCTCAACGATTCATCTGAGTTCGCCAAATATTTGAGCAATGGTGAGCTAAAGTTTTCGTCCTTCGAGGATTTTCAAGTGTTTGGAACGGGCGCGGCGGGTACTGGCGCGACGCCACCTCCGTCAGCAACGTTGTCATCATCATCATCATCAACATCATCAGTAGCACAGCAGGTAGCAACGCAACAACAACAACAACAACAACAGTATTATAATGGTGTCAGTAATAGTGGTAATAACAACAATGCCAATATTGGCATTGGCGCCACCAACACAACGGGGTTACCGAGTGGCGTTGAACAACCGTATAGTAATGGTATTGGCCAAGTGAATCCTATTGGTAATTGTGTTCAAAATGTAGCGGAAACATCTAATGTCACGGCGTTAACGCCTTCGAACGGCCCACAGTCCGCCGGTGTGCAGCAGTTGCAACATGGCGCACATTTACATTCAACACATCACACACATCCCTCTCATCTGCCACATACGCATCCACATGCACCGCACCCCTATGCCGGCGGTAGCCATGCGACGCATCCACCCGGTAGCCTCGGCGGTGCAACCGCTCCCAATGCCTTTCATCATAATCACCTCGCTGCGTCACACCATGTGCAAGGCATGCCAACGTCTACAACGCAAAGTTATCCTGCAACACTACAACGTTGGAGTTCAGCTGGAGCTGGCAATCCTATGGCTACCGCCACGCCCGGCACACCGCATAGTATATCACAATTGCAGAGTAACAATCAACAGGGCACGTCTCTTACTCCTAATCCTAGTGGTGCTCAGCACTTCGATGGTTCCTTTGAATTCCTTAAATACCTGCGTCATTCGAATGATTACAATAATGGTGAGGGTCAAGCTGAAGCTAGTGCCAATGGCACTTCTGCTGGTCCGACACAATCATCTACGTCGTCTAGCTTGATCGATTTGGATAGTAGTACGTCACATAAATCACGATCTTCGCGTAAAGCAGCCGCTTTATTGTCTTCCGTTTCGCGTTCCTCTAATAGCCTTGACGCCAACGCGCTGGACGTTTTCGATCATGATTCGAAACATACCGTTTTCGATATGCATCATGTCACGGCTACTAATAGTTCCAACTCGAATGAATCTTCCCTCGAGATATCCAATTTAGCCTTCCCCACCTCGCATTTAAATGCTTCCAACTCGAATACTTCCTCCGAAGGCGCCGCTACGGGTAGCTCTGATTTTGCTATGCTTAACGTTAGCTCCGCGGCAAGTGCTCCGAAACCGTTGGCTACCTTCACCATCAAGGACAACTTTGATGTACATCCTTCGCATAAGGTGGAGGAGGGTATTTTCCAACATATGAATAAACTACCGGCGAAGAAAAAGGAAAATTTGAAGCAATTAGGAGTTCGTTTCACGGGTCAGATGACGCTTTCGGACAAGTCTATTGTTGTGGAAAACTTCATTAAGTTCTGCCAGGTGAGCACATATCTCCCCCTCCTAGATCCGATTCCCCAGTAATATATGTAAATGTTAAAGAATTTTTGAACATCGGTTCCTTCCCTTTTCAGCTAACGATATAGTGTTATATAGAAATTTTTCTAGATTTTAAGATCACCGGGTGTTTGTTAACTTTAAAAAATCAGCACACCAACTGACGTCACTGCCCGGGACTGTCGTGCCCATGTCGCCCGCTTCATTCCGGCAGTTTGAATTTCGTAAACCCGTTCAAATTCCCCGACGGGAGCGACGTTTCTAGCATTCAGGCGCGACTTCATTCGTCACGCCGATCCTGGAAATCCCCTTATCAGGGATCTCAATAAGGACATTTGGCGTCATGTTGACATTCATAAGCCAAATAAGTAGGAGGAGCACTTTAGATATTGCATCCTGTCCTCTCAGGCTACCAAGCTCCGGACCGTAGTCAAATCGTTGTCAAACCCGACGAAACACTATGACTGGGTCGAAATTTCATTCGCTGCTCGCGTTAGCCGACTTTTTACACTGCACCCTTCGGTTGACAAAATAAAGCGACAAATGACCCACCGTCTGTGCCAACTGTCAAGCACCAGCTAGACGCTTAGTTTTTACGGAGGAGGTGCAGGGGTTCATTGGGAAGACGAAAGTCTCCAAATCCATTGGCCCAACAGAATAAGCATGCTAAAGCTACAACATCTGGTACCGCAGGTAGGGTATCTGAACACCTTAGAAATACAATACTGGGCCTGTCAAAAACTTTTAACACGGTCAAACATACAGTGATACTATCGGACATTGAGGAATTCTCATTACCGCCGGTGTTGAAGAGGTGGACCACTCAGGTAGGTGGTAGTTAGTCATCGGTAGAATGTGTGAGCTGTTCTCTGAGACTACTCGAGAAGGGATTATTAAAAAAAAAAAAAAAATCATTAAAAATTACAAAAGAGAGAGAAAAAGAGAAGGAGAGAGAGGCACCCCAAATTTTCCCACTGCTCCGAACGTGTAGGACCTTGCTGTCCTGGTAGCACTGAATCATTCAGCGAAAGTCTCCACATAGCATTTTATAATTAAACCGCTTTTCATAGAGAGTCTATTGACACCCGTATAAACTCCCTTCCCATTAATGGAATTCTAACGACCACTTATAGCAAATCAAGAGCTTGAGCTGCCACGAGAGACCTGAGCAGTACTGGCATAATTAATATCTGGAAATTGTAGTCGACTTTTAATGCCTCAAAATCAACACCTTAGCCCAGCTAACCATCTCTTTGTTTGCCCTCAAAAGCCGACTCATCAAACACCGGCCTACCTCTGGTCTCAACCTGTCGAAGCATACAAAAACAATAATAACAACAACACAAGCTTCCTTTTAAAAATCGCAATTGCGTAAATTCCATGAAAATTTCGACCGCTCGCCGCCATTTTTGTTAGTTATGCAGCAAACTAATAAACATGTACATACATACACACATATATAATACATATGAGTGTATGAAATTTGGAAATTCCTGTTATTTTACGGTTTCCCATATTATTAATTGATTTAAGAAGGTTTCATGTTCCAAAGGGCGGCGGCCTTTGTATGCACCATTTATACCAGCTTACTTTCATACATATGTACATATGTATATATACATACATAGGTATATACATAAATATTTTATGAGTGCAATTTTTACTTAAAAATATTCACCTGTACTTTTAGCGGTTACTGTACCTATGGCCAAATAGGATTCCGCTTTATATACATATGTAAACGAGTATGCTGTAAATTCATATATTTATTAACTTATTTATTATATTGTTGCGAAAATGCGAGGCGAATGTCAGATGAAAGAGAGAAGCCGATAACACAAGAACCTTCCATAGCGAACAATTCGATGCTTCTACGCTTTCGTCTGCGAGCAGCCGACTGCTATATAAAGGCGACACTCAGCTGCATGTCAGGCAGTGAAAAAGCAAATTGGTTGGCGTTAACATCAGTGAAGACGTAAAGTGAACGCGTAGGGAATTACATTTAAGTAGAGGAAATTGTGAAAGTTGATGTTAGTGATTATAAATAGTAAAGTGCAGTATAATTGAATTGTGAATTACTGAGAGAATAAAGGACATTAGATAGAATCTTTATAATGAAAGAAACTGCAAACTAAGTTGGCGAGTTTTTATTTAACAATCCAGAGATCGTACCCGAAGGATCTAGAAAATAATCGAGGTTGATTCAGTAAAATCGTAACAATATATATAAATGTGAAATTCCAAACAGCTACAAGTACATACACGTATGCATATAATAGTTGGGAGCTTATATACATATATACAATATGCATAGCATATCCACAGAGATATATTCCTATATAATCATGCATCTCTATAAATTTAAAACCCAATGAACATTTAGTGGGAAATAATGCTCTACTTCAAGTCTCGATATTCAGTATTTCAGTTGAACAGAAATTTTTTTTTCCGCCTTTAAAAAGAGCGCATGCACTCGCCCTCACGTAGCTGTGGCTTTCTTCAGGATTTTTTACTTTACAAGAACTCTACCGACCATTTGAGCCATCATCAGCGTGTGTAACACCTCTCCCATCGGAAAATCGTTAACTAGAACAAACGGAACAAATGGAATTAAAAAATCTCTCCTCTACGGCAAACAAATTTTAGGCTACAGATAAATCGTTGTCTAATCCAAAGTGATATGATGACTAGGTGAAAATTTCATTCGGTTATCACGCCTCTTCGGACCCGAAGAAGTGCACGAGCTGTTTTAGCCAGTTTTTCTCATTGCACCCTTCGGTCGATATAATAATGCAACAATTAACCTGCTCAAACTGCCAAACACCAGCGCGACGCTTGATTACTCCAGGGAAGAGATCAGGGTATTGCCGGGCATGCGCCGCCCTGCATATCCATCGGCTCTGCAGAATCAGCATGCTTATTCTATAACATCCTTGGTCCATTCTTACTATACCTAATGTGTGGTTCCGCTGCTAAAACCAGTGAAACCTTATTCATAGGAAGACTCATAACGGACGATATCTCTCCTTTTCCCATTAGCGATGATAATAAGCCGTATACAAACACGTCTTTCGAAAAGAACAAAGTACCACAACCGCAATTAACGCTCTCAGTACAAAAATAGCCCATAACCTCAACCAAAATCGTCCCTGCCCGCGGTTCGTCTTGAGTAACCCGATTACGGCTGGTGTTGGAGAGTAGAACTATGAGCTGCTCAAGCGGCCGGCGGCGGTATAAAGACCCGATTGTCGCGAGGACTATTGGATTTTAGTTGCCTCATACGAAAGGCCAGTCTTCAACCCCTAACCCACAGGGGGATCCTTTAATACTCCTTCACTTCACTGCTCGACAGCTACAACTTCCACCGGCAAAATCCGCGGTTAGCCTTTTATCCAGTTGGACTAAGAAGTATCGGCTCGAATTGGATGTGAAAGTCGATGACAAAAATGTAAAAATGTCGCCAATAAATAACCCCAAGAAACTGAAAGTCACATTTGACCGAAAGCACCAGGGGAAAAGGGAAAGAAACGATTCTCCCAAGATAAAAATTGCGCTGAACTGAACTGGACAAGCAAGACGCAGTTGAAGAAGCTTGCGGAAAAAAACTGATTTGGGAACTGTGACGGGAAACCTCCTGCTGGGTAATCAAAATCTGCTGGGATGGTGCCATCTGATCATCCCAACGCACATCTAGAAGCTGAACCACCACCTAGGCACAACAGGATGGGGCAGTACTTGACATGAAAAACAGAATACAGCTGGACAGGACGACATACTGATAAGGCATCCTGCGGTCTAGGAATTCTATAATTTTCCGACGATAAGGCATGCCAGTCTTAAGAGTCGGCCAAAAGTTTCCGCGACAATCGGGTTTTTATACCGGAATGATCCGGATTTTTATACAGCCAAAGATTGTCTACCGCGGCGACAATAACAACATACTAACAAGTTTTAAAAGCCATTCACCAAGGGTATGCTAACACATGTTTAAACTCTATTGCCGTGAATGACGTACACAGAAACCATCACCACTTATTGCATACCAAGAGCTCAAACTGTTACGAGAAACCCGAGTATTGTTGGGCAGAGTTAAGGTCTGGATCTTGGAGTCTTCTAATCTCCTACTTAGTCAAACTTGACCCCGAAAAACCCAACGTATGTGCTGCAATCAGTCGGATCTGTAGCTTTATCGTCGCGTTAATATCGTAAGAGAAACCGATTTCGCCTCGATCCAAGGCGTTTTATTTATTGGGATCTTTTTTGTTGTTGCAAACTTTTTGGGGAATGATTCGGGAGTGGCAATCCTTGACCGGATAAAAATCTGGGTCGTTCCGATGTAAAGACCCGACGGTCGCGGGAACTTTTTGGATTTTAGTCACCTCTTACGACAGGCATGCCTTACCGCGGGTAAATTCTTGAACCCCTAACTGGCAGGGGTTTTTTTGGGATCTGCCATTTTAAATTATTTTGTACGTATTGAAATTTGATTAATATGATTTTCATGTGAATATACATATGTATGATGGGTAACCACTCCGCTTGATATGGAATTTCAATATCACTGCACTCGTATACATATGTATATATATGTACCGATGTATATATAAATGTATGTAAAAATACCTATTAATATTACTTTATATTATTTATGTATATATGTACATACATATATGAAGACCCGTTAATAGTTAATGTATTGAATGATACAAAAATTTATTTACATATATACATATGTACATATGTATAGAGAATATGAAAATCCCTGGTGTATACATTCAAAAATTTACATCAATTTATATATTTTACATATTTACATATGTACACATATTATATACATATATTTATTTACATACTTATGTGACATGTATTTATGTATGTATGCATTACATTAAATTATAAATTCTTGCATATTTCATGCATACATTTTTATGTACATACTTATATCGATATTCATATTTGATATAACTAACACACATACAAACATA